AATCATTCAATTTCAGTTTTTAGATCTTGATGCTTTGTGGTCTCCTGGAATTCTTTGTCTTCTATTCTGCTGTCCTTGGTATTATCCGCACCTTCTTGTTTTCCATTATCCGCACCTTCTTGTTTTCAACTGCCGTTAAATCTGGTGTGTTCTGAGCCAAGGCTTTATCAGTTTGTAGTCACAACATTTTAATCTGCTCATTCCCACCTTCCTTTTCAACTTATACGTTCTCACCAATTGTTTATGACTGGCATATGTGATAATTTTTACAGATGTTCCCATGAAGCATTTTGGAGACTGTGTGATGTCATTGTTTATTATCTGTGTGGTTTTCTTGCATGAGCTGAATGTACAACCTACTGTTTCTTCATTTTTGCACAATCTGCACATTTTAATATTTTTATGGTTGGTCATGCAGTCAGCCAGATGTTCAAACTGGATTTGGCATTTTTGTCCACCTATTGAATTCTTCCCAAGTATCTGAGATAAGTAGATGTGGCTGTTTGATGGTCTTAAAAGAACCATTGCAGAATGTAAGCTGTTTCAAACGAACCTGCATCTATAAGGGATATTTATTATTTATTGTGCATTTATTGCTACAGCTGCTGTGCCACTCCATTGCCAAAGACACATAAACCTCAGTACAATTACCGATGCACATAATGTGCTCGTCTTCAGGGGTAGCATGATCTCCCTTCTCCCAAAATGCCTTTTGGTGAAGAGCCCTGTTTCCGTGGTTCTCCCAAAAATCTAGTCAGGGGGTGGGATACAGGATGCCTTGATGGGGAAAAATGAGGAGAAGCCACGAACCGGCAGGCCAGGACCCTCCTGTATGCCGTTGGGACCTGCTTGGGGAGTGTGGGGGGTGGTGGTCCTGGAAGATGAAGGTGAAAATTGTTCCTGCTTGCAACCTGAAGATTGTTCATCCTGCCCTTCAGACAGGACAACACGGAGGGATGAGTTCCTGCAAGAAGGGCTCTGCTCACCAACATCTCCCAACTTCTTCCACAAACAAGTTTCAGGTGAGCAGACTCACCTGATTTCCCCTCTTAGACCCAGAACTTCCCAAGCAGCATGAAGAAGGGCATTGTGGGCAAATGAGCTGCCACGGGGCATTGTGGAGTGATGGCATGTAAGGAATCCGTTTAGATTTCAGCTTTCCTAAAATTTAAAAAAATGGTAGCTGAAGCTAGCTTTGTCTCTTATGACATCACCAGCCAAGATAGTTGTAAGATGGTGGAGACATCAAGAGTGCAAACTGATTGTGCGGAAAACCAGAGCAGACTCCGAGAGGCTCAGTAACTCTCTGAAGGGATTTATTGCTTCTTTTCAAGCGCAAGTTAGCCTAAGGTTCAACCTCCGAGGTAAGCCTTGTGTTGCACGGGCTCAGTTCCTGGCTGCATCTTGCCAGTGCTAAGTGCAGGACTGGCGCCCTTCCCTAGCGCCAGGATCTCGCGCTTGCAGCTTCGGGGAGGGGGCTTTGGGGGGGGGCAAACGGTTGCTCGGAAGCGGAGCCTCAGAGCAACTCAACTGCCAGAGAAATGCCAAAGGAAGAGCTGGAAAGTGGGGGAGGAATGGTCCTGTCTTCCGCAGGAGTTTGGGGCAGAGGCTGATGGGCTTTGGGGCGCCCAGGGGCCGGGAAGGAGGGAGGCGCAAGCACCGGATGGTCCGGACTGGGGAGACCCCAAGGCGGCGGCCGGGCAGCGCCTTTCCCTTGGCGCTGCGCTGCGCTGCGCTGCGCTGCCCGGGAAGGGCGGCGCCTGCCCTAAGCGCGCCTTCTCCCGGGTTGCCAGCCCGCCCGTCGAGAGGGAGCGCAGGGGCACGCGGGGCTCGCCCGGAGCGCTCCAGGAAAGGATCTGAGCCGCCAACGCTCCTCGGGCGCCGCTCCGCCTCCCAAGCGTGCGCGGTCGAGGAGAGGCAGCGGCGGAACCGGGGCTCCTGGAGCGCGAAGCGGCGTCTCCCCCGGCGGCGCCGGCACCCCTGGCGAGCCCGCCAAAGAAGGGCTGGACGGACTCCAGAGCGCAGCGGCATCTGGTGAGAGCGCAGGGGCTCTGCGCGGAAGGCGGCGCGTGGTGGGCTCCAGCCGGGCGAAAGCGGGCTGCCCCCCAAGCCCCGCACCGGCACGAGCGAGCGCGGAGAGGCTCCCTGCCTGGCCGGACGGCGAAGGGGTTAACGCCGCCGCGCGCAACGGAGAGTCTCGGGCGCAGCCAGGCTGGCGAGGCGGCGGCTCCGCGCCAGAAACGGTGAGCCCGGCGTGGGCGGCGTGGAACGGGGGCGGCTTCCCTCCCTCTCCCCGGCCGGAACTTTCAGGCGGCGGCCGGCGGGCGCCCCACACTCCCCTCTCCCCGAAGTGCCAGGCTAGGTGGCGGGCTGGGCGGTGGGCGCAGGGGAGGCGGGAGCGGGCTGGGCTCCTCGCTTCGACCGAAGGGGCGTCTGGGCACCTGCCGGCGCAGGACTGCGGCAGGGGCGGCTACGGGCGGCGGGGATGGCGGGCATCGGCGCCCATTCGAGGCAGTGGCTGCGCTGTGGGCTGGCAGCACCGGGATTCGGTTCCAGCAATGCAGGTTCCGGCCAGGGAGCCATCATCTCTCGGGGTCCTGCAGCACATCGGGGTCACCCTACAGTCCCAAGACTGAAGCCCCCCTTGCACGTGGTGATGCCCAGGGCAGCCGTGGGGTGCAGCAGCCTTGGCTACCCAGGCTTCCTGGCCGCCTGGAGGGAGGAAAGGTTGGGCTCTCCAGAAGCAGCCCAGGGCGACCCCGGGGAGCTGGTCAGCCCGGAAGTTGTCTGAATGTCATTTGGTTGTATGGAAGGATTCTTGTCGGAAGGCTCTGAGATGGAGAGGCTGGCATTTCTACAATGGGCCCACTTTGGTCAGCACAGGGGCAGCAAGGGCCAGTGAATTCGGTTGGGGCCTTTCCTGTGTTGGCTGAACCCAGGCGGTTGTCGTGCTTTGTAACTACCAAACCTGGATTAATTCAGTGGTCATAGCTAGTGTGCTGTGGAAACTCAGCCCCAAAGTTTAGTTCATAACTTGCTTTCCTGCAACCTTCCTTAGTGAGTCTTAATCTCTTTTGGTCGATTAAAATGCCAGCATATGGAGATGTGCTACTTTGGCAGCAGAGTACATGAGCACATGCATGTTCATGAATGTGCTGGTGGATGATTTGATGATATCACTTTGTGGGACCCAGCAAAAGATCCTCTCCCCATCCAGTTTCTTTCCAAATGCGGGGAACACAGTGTCCACAATTCCCAGGAAGGGAAGGCCAGAAGGATAAAAGGACACGGGGAAGACAGGGATCCACTCAGAGCCACTGACAAGGCCAGGCAGAGCCTGCTGCCCTTCTGCCCAGGGGCCCCCCTCCCCTTCCTGGACCTGCCATGCTTGCTGTGCCAGAAGTGCCCCCCAAAGGTCTCTTGTCAAAGACGTCTCCCACCGGCAAGCCCAGACCACTTGCAGTCCTCCATGGGAAGGAGCCGGGATCGTGCATGAGGCTCTCCTCATCCATCCGCAGATCCGAATGGGCCAAGCAGCAATCAGGCAGAGAAGGGTGGAGACAAGGGTTGTTATAGAGTCCACTGGGGGCTGCTCTTGGTGGGTCCTTGGCCTTGGCTTCTAGCCTCCAGGGCCAGCCCTGGGCATCACCAGCTGTGTTGGTTCCACCTGAGCAGTGGGGCTCTCTGCCCTGTCCCCCTCTCAGCAGCCGCGTCCTGTTTCGGGAGCAGGGCACATGGGCCTCCCTCTTGGGCTTAGATTATCCAGAGACAAGAGAGGAAGGGGGGGCAAGGAGGGGAAGGAAGACAGCCACCACGGCAGTTGCTCTTCAGCCTTTCCAAGGTGGTGGTGGTGGGGGCAAGGCAGACCCTCCTGCCCCAAGAAGGGCTGCCTGTCCACCCTGGGCAAAGTGCCTGACAAGCTAGCGGCAAGCAGCACCTCCAGGTGTGTGCATTGGCCCTGGCATCCAAGTCCTTGGGTTTTGCCATCCCTGTGAAGCACAGAAATGTCAGGATTCTGACTGCATTTGGTTGGGCGGAAGGATTCTTGTCAGGGGAAAGAATCTTTCCACACAAAAGACAAGCTCTGTGGGTTAAATGAAGGTACAACCAGGTGGAGCCGTGGATGGCAAAAGGCAGATCCCAGAATGCTTTTTTGAGGAGCAGCTGAAGGTTAGCAGGATCTGATACTTTCTGGCACCATCCAGGCTCTCGGTTAGCCAAACCGGCTTCTATAGGCAGCTTCTTTGCCCAGGCACCCAGCGGGCGGCAGGATGCAGTCAGGGGCGGCAGGATGCAGTCAGGGGTCGTCCCCCCAAAGGGCAGCCGTGTGTTGAGGGCAACCGAGAGGTCTTGGGCTGCCCCTTCATTTCCCCTGTCTTTCTTCTGATACCTGCAGGCCAACAACCTCTTCCCGGCCAGGGCAGCCCTTCCACCAAGGAGCAGGGAGGCTCCGTGGGAAGCTGCTTCCTCTCTAGAGGCGGTGCACGTGGGCGTCTCAGCGTGGTCGGCCCCTCTTCTGCCGGTTCCACCGAGGGGGAAGCCTCCAACCAGGAAGCCCGCAGGCAAGAGCAGCTTCTGCTGTTGGGAAGCAAAGGCGGCTCCCTCCTTTCCCCGTCTTCACTTCTTTGGAGGCCAGAAGACTGAGGGGTCCCCACCCCCAGACCCAATTTGTAGAGAAGCCAGGCACAGTTGCACCCAGGTGCCAGCAGCAGCGGAGCTGAGTGGGAGCAACATCAGGGAAAGGAGGGAGAAGAACCACCGCTGTTTAATTTGCTCTGAGGAAGCCTCTTAATTAGGCTCATTTGGCAGCTCCCCAGCAGCCACCAGTGCAGACCGAGGAAGGGGCACTTGGCACTTGGGAATGCTCTGAGCCGCCAGCCTCCGAGCGTCATCGGGCTCCGCTGCTCCCAGCCCCACCGCCTGCTCACTCCGTGGACTCGGGCCTCAGTCACCAGCCGTGCAGCCGCTCTCTCCAGGGCCCAGCCCCGCTCCCAGGCAGAATGAATGACAACATCCTGGACCCGGCATCCCAGGCCAACCTGGGGGTCGTCTCGGCCACCTGCGTCTCCAAGGTGGAGCTCCGCGTCTGCTGCAAGCACCTCCTTGACCGGGACACCCTCAACAAGTCGGACCCCTGCGTCGTCCTCCTCATGCAGTCCCAAGGACAGTGGGTCGAGGTAGGTGGGGAGCGGCTGCAGGGAGGGGGGAAGGGAAGCGGAGGGGGGGCAGCTTGAGACGGGTCCGGGAGGAGGGCAAGCTGGGCAGGACCCTCAAGGGGAGACGCCTGCTGCCAAGGCCCCAGCAGCGGCTCTTGCTCCTCCTGGGCTGAGCCCCAACCACGCATCCTCCCTCCATCCTTTCCAGCAGCTTCCCAGCTCAGGGTCCTTCCAGTTCTTATCCCCCCTGAGCAGCAAAGTCATTCCGAGTTGCTCAAAGGCTGTGCCCGACCTTCTAGTGGGTTAGGGAGGTCTGCTCCAGCCCCCCCTTCTCTCCACAAAGGAGGGAGGGGTCTGTTGCCCTCCCACGGGGCAGCCCTGGCCCCAGGGAAAGTGTCCTTGCAAGGCCCTGGAGATGGGGACCTTCTACAGCCCAAGACTCCTCTCGGGAGAGGCGGGGCCAGCCTTTGAAGTCCAGCGGAAGGACGGTTGGGTTGAGTCTCTTTGGGCTGGTTGGTCCCTTCCTTTAAAGGAAGACCCGAGAATGGGGCCCGTAAGAGCTCGCAGGGTGGTGGGTGCCCTGTGGGCAAGAGCCGGTCTGGGGCCCGAGGGGCAGAGGAGGAGGAGGAGGAGAGCTGGGCACAGACCAACTGCCTGGTTCCACCAAAGAGCACAAAGAAGGGTCTTTCCTCCCACCCCGCCAGAGAGAAGGCCTGGCCCAGGAGGGTGTTGGTGAAAGGCGGCCCTGGAGGCAGCTCCTCTTCCTGATGGCTTCCACTGCCAGGGCCGGGAGGGAGAGCCCTCGGCTCCCCTGGAGGAAGGCATCAGCGCTTTCATTGGCGGGTTAATTGATTAGAAATTAGATATTAAAGGTGCCTCGTATTGACACATGTGCAAAATGTATGCACAGCTCATTTGAAAAGAGGAAAAGATGTGAAGTAGTAAGGTGGGAAGCCTCTCGGGAGGCTGAGGGACACCTTCACCCTCAGCAGCCCATCCACCAAAGCACGGAAGGGACCTGCCCAACTCGCTTCCTGCCATCAGCTCCTGTTAGCGGACTCAGCCAGTAAAACGGAGCGAGCTCTGCACCTTGACTGGCTGCTCTGCCTTCCTCCCTGAAAGTGCCTTGGCTCCCCCTTGGGCTCACCGGGAGGTCTCCTTGCTGAAGCCTCAAAGGGGTGTAGAGGCAGAGGCGGCTCTATCTGGCCGACCAGGAGCTCTCTCTGGGTCCCCCAGCCACGGCGGAAGCCAGTTCTGCTCTGAGACCCGTAGTTAGGATGCAAGCAAGGCTGTCAAGGCTGTTGGGCCCTCACAAGGCCCCAAAGACCCCTCCCGGATGACAGGCACCGAAGCAATGCAGCAACTCCTTGAGGCTGACGGGGCGGGAGGCTTCCTTGGAATCGCTCCATCTCTGCACTTAGGAGGGCTGGACTCTCGTTTCTGCTGTTGTTGCTGTCTGTGAACGGATGGAGTTGGCCCTCCCAGCCCCCTCGCTAAAGCTCCTTCCCAAAGGCTGGAGAATCCTGCAAGAAACCCCAGTTTCCTACATCAGGGACTTGGGTTGAGGCCAAAGTTCTTGCCACAAGCTCAGAGACTCCGTTGCTTCCCTTGATTTCCGGCACGATCCTCAGGTACCCACTTTCTGCCTGGGCCTTGAGTTCCCCTCACCTGCAGGGGCCCCAATCCACTCTGAACCAGGGTTTGTGCAGGGCAAGTGCACCGTGGACATCGTCCCCCTCCATTGGCTGAATTGGCCTGGAAAATCTCCTCTGGCTCGGGCTTTGGGTTCCCTGGCCTTGGGGCCCAAAGGCAGGAAGAGCATTCCCTGGTTTCTGGCAGATGGGCTTCCTTGGAAGGTCTGTCTCCACGTTCAGCTCATCAAGTCAAACCAGACAACCCAAGAACGGAGCCAGAAAAACAGTCGCAGGAAAGGAGATCCAGCTATCATCAGATACCACTCAAATCCTAGTTTAACAAGCAACACCAGAGACACATATGTGCACCGCAGAGGGTGCTAAATGCCTGGCAGCCTGTGGTGGCCGTGGGCATTTCTCCCTTGCCAAGGGAAACTCCCTGGGGCACCAAAGCACCGTGGCCACCAGCTGTCCAAGAAAGAGCTGGCGTGGCTGTAAATAATTTCAGGGGGGAAAGGCCCAAATCAAGCCTCAGGAATGGAATGAGGCCCATTCACAGCACAAAACGGTCTGATCCAGGCACCAGGATCTTGCCCTCCCCTGGCTGCCTTGGCACTGCCCCCAAAATGAGCTCCCCAACCCATGGGGAGTCACCCCCTAAATCGGGGCACAGGTGGACAATCCCCCCGTCCCCCAGTTGGCCTTGTTGCTCCACCCTGTCCAGAGCATCCCGTCTTGTGGGCATGTGGCGGTGGTGGGAGGGCTCTGCCAGGCCTGCTGGTTGCCCCAGTCTGCCCGCAATTCTCCCCTTGCTTTCTGGCCTGTGGCTCTTTTGCCAGCCTTCGGGGGTAATTATTGCCTGCAGTTTCAAATACTCCTTAGAGGTGAAGGTTTCCCTCCCGCTCCGCTTGACGCTCCCAGGTGACAGGCACTGGCAACCTGTGCTAAGCTGGGCGGGCCAGGAGATGGGCCCAAAAGCCTCCCCCACCCCAGCCTGGCTCCCAACCTGAAGGGTCTTTGGCTCCCGGTGACAGGGAGGAGCGCACAGCCAGCAACGGCGCTTGCGGCACCCATGAAAGGTAAAAGGGGCCGTTCTGCAGGGGTGCTGCGGTGCGGAGGCTGGGCAGCTCCCTGCTTTGGGGCACAGGTGCCACTGCCTTCCCCCGGGGAAGCAGAGAGCCCCCTCACTCGGGGGCTTCTTGGCCAGTGTAGGGAAAGGGACTTTCAAACACGCCTGAAGGGAACCCAAAAGTAAATCGCCTTCCATGGCTGTTCTGGCACTGAAGCCGAAGCTCAGCAGTTGAGATGTTGAGTCACCTGAGAAGTTGGCAGGAGCTCCAACAGGTGATACGCACAGCGACTACCTTTGCGGGGTTGCGGTGAAATGTCTGGTGATGGAGGTGAATGGCTGAAACAGCCAAAATGGCTGCCTGAACGTTAATGGCCTCGCTCTCGCGGCCTGGCTGTTAATTGCAAAGCCCGGCTGAGCCTGGAGGCTGGTGAGTTTCCGGAGCCCCCCCCCCCAAGTTCCATGCTCCCCTTGAGGTCCTGAGTCCTCTGCCGACCCCGCTCCCCGTTCAGCGGTCATTCCCCGGGATTTAGTTCCATTTCTGCTCCCTCGTTGGGTTTTTTAAACCCTCTTTCCTGTCCAGTCTCTGTCCCGGGAGCAGACCGTCCCTCCATGTGGCGAAAGGAAAGCTGGGTCCCAAAGCGCTGAGCCCTCCTGCACCCAGGCTGAGCCCCACAGAGACCCAGAGGGGAGCCCGGATTTCTGGCATTCATCACCCCAGAAAGGAGGAAGGGAAAGAGCCTCTCGTGCCTCTCCGAAGGCGTCCCGACCAAAGTGTCCACAAAAGATGGCCGCATTTCTTTAGCACCGGCCATGCACAGCTGGTGCCGGTGAGCAGCTCATCCCTCCATCATCGGAGGTCCCACCAGATCCTCGGGCCCTTCAACAGGCATAACATGGAGCCATTTAATTGGCCGCGAGGCTTTGCACGATTCTTCTCTTTCATCCAGCCAGCTCTCCTCTGAAGCAACCACTGATTGCCTGTTGCTTTGTTTGGAAGCCACAGTGAAGCCGAGATGGAGTGGAGGAAGGGCCGGTGGGGGGGTTGAAAACAAGACAGACAGCTGGCCTTCAAAGGAGCCTCCGGGGAGGGGGGAGCAGCAGCTTCCCCCCTCCAGCTGCAGACCTCAATAGAGCCGCCCTGCTACAGGCAACCGAGATAATCGGGGGGGGGGGGGGGGGGGCCCCAAGCTGGGGGCCCATTTAAGCCCTCCTGCCCACCAAGGGGCAGATCCAGGTTGCCTTGCAGGTGGATCAGTCAGCTTCAGACCCGCCTGCTTTCTGAAAGGGATGGAGGAGAAGCTCGGAGCATGGAGCAAAAAATCGATCCGGAAATGTTGCTCTATTTTCAGGGGAGCCACAGCTGTCTTTGCCCATGTTAACAGCCACGAAAAATCACTTTGGCTGATGTCCCCTGTGTGGCCGGACGTTGATAAAGTTACCGTTTCATGCTTGGCATTATTTAGAAATCAGGAGAACCCAGAGCGACGGGGCAATAGGTCCGACGTGCTCCAGGAGCCGCTGGAAAGGATGCGGCTGCAGTGAGCAAGCCGAGGCATCTGCAGCTCGGTGGAGATGGGAAATATTGGTGGCCTTCGCCTTGTCCAGCTGCTGGGGAGGAGGGGGGGTCCCTGGGCAGGCCAGGTCCCCTCCTTGCTGCAGCCAAGTCTTTGGTCTCGTCACCTGCGTCTCTGTGCACATCTGGAAAGAACCCAGAGCTGCTCTTTGTGAGGCACCTTTGATCAGTCAAGGAGTCCACCAGTCCGTCACCCCCGAGGCTCAGCCCAAGTGCAACAACCCCAGCGCAGGACATGGTCCTTCCAGCGCCTGACAGGCCCTGAAATCAGATCACACAGGCTCCTCTGCCCCCCCCCCCCCCCCCAAAAAAACCCTGGCCTTCGATCCACCCACTGAAGGCTTCCAAGGGAGCTGACTGTCCCTTCCGGATCGCAATTGCTGCATCCAACATATGGGTCATGATGAGGCGGATTAAGACTCCACCGCAAGATGAGCTGCGTGGCTTACTTTGAGAAGTGGATCCAATTAATAAACCTCCCACTCCTTGAGAAGAAGATATTTGGGGAGGGACAGAGAAAGGGGCTTGGGCGGAATCAATTGCCACAATGTGACCCCCCCCCTTCTTTGCTTGGCACACCAAAACCCAAACCGACCAGGAGAAGCCAATGGACAGCTCTGCTTGGCTATCCACAGGGGCAGCGGGAGCTTGGCACGGCCCATCTGGTGGCCTGATGCAGATAAATCGTGATCGGGGACCTGTGTGTGTGGGTGGGTGGTAAATGTGTGTGCTTGAAAGACACCCCCTCCCCCCAGAAAATGGGTATCCTTAGCCTGGAGAGAACTTTTGCCTTAGCCCAAGAAAGCTGCCCACATCCGGAGGGAGAAGCTGAAGGGAAGAGCCAAGAATGCCACCCTCTTCTCTTCTCTTCTCTTCTCTTCTCTTCTCTTCTCTTCTCTTCTCTTCTCTTCTCCTCTCCTCTCCTCTCCTCTCCTCTCCTCTCCTCTCCTCTCCTCTTTTCTTCTCTTCTCTCTTCTCTTCTCTTCTCTTCTCTTCTCTTCTCTTCTCTCCTCTCCTCTCTGTCTCTGTCTCTGTCTCTGTCTCTGTCTCTGTCTCTGTCTCTGTCTCTCTTGCACTATGAAAAAGAAAGAGAAGGCTGGATGCTCTCTGGCTCTTGAGAAAAGATTCTTCTACCTGGCTCAGCTTCCACGGAGGCTCTTAGCATCAAAAGGCTCCTTGGCCTCCAGCATCTTTAACAATTAACACATTCCCTTCAGCCAAAACCTTTCTGGGCAAACTGGCCTGTATGGAAGATGCAGCCTGACATTTTGCAGCTTCTCTATTTCTCCTGTTCTGACAGAGATTCCTGGCATAATTGACAAGGCATCAGTCATTTTCCAGGGACCAGTTAGAGAGGAATGAGCTGACCTGGGTGCTGAGGAGAGGGAGCTGGCACTCCCGCAGATACAAAAGATGGGCAGGAAATAGAAAACCAGGCATGGAACTTCATAAAGTGATATCACAGGCGCAATCTGGTTTCCTTTCTGAACAGCAGCATGACTGATGACTTGCTTGGTGAGAACAAAGCACTAACTCAAACCGGATTCCAGGAAGCCTTTGGCAGAAGCTGCTACCTGAGCCAGGAGCGATCTAGTCGCCAGAAGGCAGCTCCTGCCCTGGGCAGCCCCTGAAGAGCCAGGAAAAGGGGAGGCAGGTTGGGTCTGACTGTCTGCCCCCCGCAAGCGCTTCCCGGTCAAGGCAGGGCCGCAGAGGTGCCGCGCTCCAGCCAAGCTGACTTGGGAAGAGCACGTTCTCCGTGCCAGCTTCTCCGGCTTCTCACCCGGGGCAACCGAGGCTCCTTCGTGTGGCTGCGTGGGAGCCTGGCACTCCGTGTGGTTTTCCCCCGAGAGCCTCACCGGGGCCGGCAACAGGCCCCGCGGAAGCCCCTGCCCAGGCTCGGAAGGCGCAGCCAAGAAGCGCTCCGGACGCGCAACCGGAGGTTGAATTCATCCAGGCCTGGGAGAGGAGTCGCCTTGGCCCCGCCCTGGGGACCCAAGCGCAGCACCCCTTCCTGGCTCCTTTCTTCCGGTGCTCCCCTTCCCAAGACCAGCCGGCCAGGCTGTGCCGCCCACCCCGCCTGCCTGGGGTCCTTGGTGGGGGAGCGAAGCGCAGGAGAGGGTGGGGACCCCGGGCCCGCCATTTGCCAGGGCAGGGTTGGGGGGGCTCTGTACTTCCTCCATCTGTCGGCCAGGCTAAGCCTTCTGGGCTTGGGGGGGTCGGAGTGCAAGGCCTCGCGGGTGACGCCACTGTCTGTGCCTCCAGGTGGACAGATCCGAGGTCATCCGAAGCAACCTGAACCCCGTTTTCGCCAAGGTCTTCATGGTGGACTATTACTTCGAGGAGGTGCAGAAGCTGCGCTTCGAAGTCTACGACATCCACGGACACAGCGGCCTGGGCACCCACGATGACGACTTCCTGGGAGGCATGGAGTGCACGGTGGGGCAGGTATGGCGGGGGTGGGGGGGTCTCTGGGGCCCGGACTCTGGACACCGAGGCCCCACCGGTTGGGTGCAGCAGGAAGGGGCCTAATCTGCGAAGGGGCCCCTCAGAAGAAACTGGCAGAGGGGCCTCCCTGGCAGGACAGGCCCCCAAGGCTGCAGACCCCTCCCACCCCCACCGCAAGGCTTAGGGTTAGGACCCCCTTTCCCCACCGGAACAGGGCTGCAGGGAAAGGCTCCCCTTGGTGGGCCCACCCACCCCCACCCCAAGAAGGGTCCTGCCCACCCACCTTTCTGCCCCTCCTTGCAGATCGTGGCTCAGAAGCGGGTGAGCAAGCCACTCTTCCTCAAGTATGGGAAATCTGCCGGCAAGTCCACCATGACAGTGAGTGCCCCCTCCCAGCCCCCACCCTGCGGCTGGATGGAAGCGGAGGCTGGGGGGACCCCCTGACCCAGGCCCGGCCTCTGAAGGGGCCTCTCTTGCCCCCCTCTTCACAGGTGACCTCGGAAGAGATTTCTGGAGACAACGGCTTTGTGGAGTTGTTCTTTCGGGCAAAGAAGCTGGATGACAAGGTGGGGGGAGGGGCTGGGCGGCTGTGCTCTTCTCCTTTGGGGGAGATCAGCCCGGGGAGGGAGGGTCAAGGTGACCACACCGGGCTTGAGAGGGGCAGGCAAGGGGAGAAAGGAATGGCAATGCTGCAGGACTGCAGGCCATTCAGCCAGGCGGGTGGGGGATAAATTGGTCCGGATAGGTGAATGCCAGCATAGCCCCTGTGCCCACCCCAGCACCCGTCTGCTCCCACAGAACAGGAAAGTCTGAAGCAGCTGCCCAGGAGCTGGAGGGGAGGGTGCAGGTTGAGCAGCAGTTTTTATTAGGAATGAAAAACTGACATCAACAGTGAATATCTAGCAAATGGGCTGTGTGTGTGTGTGCGTGCGCGTGCGCGTGCCTGTGTGTGCCCGTGTGCCTGTAATCAGAGCCATCCGTGCAAATTCGTCATCTTACGTGACAGAGATAAATCAGGCTGGCATCAAAGCTGTGAAATTGAATATGAATGCCTTTTTTAAAAAATGAAAAAGGATATTTAAAAGTTGAACAGATGGAGCAGGAAGTGAGAGGAAGGAATGCTGGAGAACTTGCTGGGTGGGTCTGTCAGTGGGGAAGGGGCTTCTGCACACACCCCGCCCCCCTCACTCTTCCCTGCCAGCCAGCCTGCATGCAAGGCCAAGTGCTGCCCACTTTCCTCCCAGGGGGTGGGGCTTAGGGGAGCCCACTCCTGCTCCCCCCCCTTCATTTTCCCAACCATCCAATGGAGTGAGGAGGGGTCTTCAGATGCCCAGTGAAGAATCGACCCAGGTGGGATTGAGCAAAACTCCCCAGGTTTGGCCCTCCCACCCCTGCAACCAGCCTTCATGCCACTCAAAGGAGCGCACAGGGGCACCCACAACTCAGGCGGGCCTGGCAATAGGACCCCGAGAAAGAGGAGGAGGGGAGCCACCCCTTGATAACAGGTTACCCTGTCTCCCCTAGGATCTTTTCAGTAAATCCGATCCCTTTCTGGAGATCTATCGGATCAATGATGATGGAAGTGAGCAGCTGGTACACCGGACGGAGGTGAGCATCCCCTCCTAGGGGCCAAAGGATAAATCCCCAAGGCCCCCGGTTAGAGGGGAGAGCAGCTGCTTCTGGTCCTCATGGTGAAAGAAGGGGGGGCTGGGTCCCAGGATCTGCTTACACCCCACCCCCAGAGACCTGTCCCAGCCCACTGCAGCCATGGCCCTTGGGGGCCCCGGGCCCTCACCCCTCCCTCAGATCAGCCGGAGGGGTTCAAGGGGCAGAGGAGGGAGGCATTGGTTGGGGTCTGACTGGGAAACCTTCAGGGCCTTGTGGACAGGGACCCCCCCGCCCGAAGGCTGCCTTCTGAGACCCTCTGCCTCTCTCCGCAGTTTGTCAAGAACAACCTGAGCCCCATCTGGGAGCCCTTCAAGGTCTCCCTGAATTCCCTCTGCAGCTGTGAAGAGAAGCGGAAGCTGAGGGTGAGGGTTTTTGGGGGGGGGGCGAAGGGCTCCCCGCTGATGCCCTAAGCCGGCCCCCAGCTGCTGGGGGTGCAACTTCAGCAGCGCCCCCAGCAGGCAGATGGGAGGCTCACAGGGGTCTCTGGGGTGCGGCCTCCCATGCCTCGTTTCGGAGACCAGCCGTGCATTGCGCCCTCTGGTCCTGGGGGAGGGTGGGGGAGGGGGAGGCTGGGCAGAAAGGGCCCCCGCCCCCGGGGCTCCTGAAGGGCCGTGTCTCTCGTGGGCAGTGTGTCGTCTTCGACTACGACTCCCGAGGGAAGCACGACTTCATCGGAGAGTTCTACACCACCTTCGAGGAGATGCAGAAAGCCACAGGCGGCAACAAGGTGGGCACGCAGGGAGGAAGCCAGGCAGCCCCCTCCCCCTGGGAGCTCCACAGCTGGGGAGGGGGCTTCCTGGAGAGAAAGCAGCCATCCACAGCTGGGGCTGGGTGGGGGGTTGGTCTCTGTCCAGACCTGAATGGCCCAGCAGGAATAAAAAGAGACCCCTTTCGCCCCTCCCCGCCTCAGATCCAGTGGGACTGCATGAATCCCAAGTACAAACTGAAGAAGCGGAACTACCGGAATTCAGGCGTGGTCATTCTGCTGGACCTGAAGGTACGTGGCCAGTCCGTGGGGCGGTGCCAGGGCTCAGCAAGGGGGAATCTGAGGGTCAGGCTCTTGCCCCCTTCATCCCCGCTGGGGGTGGCAGCCGGCCTGGCCCCCGTCCTCGTAATTCTCCCCACCGGCTGCAGCTCTTTGCCCTGCGTGGGGCCCAGAGCTGGGCTGGCAGGGAGCAGCTTCCACCCTGCTCGGCTTCTGGCTGACGCCCAGATTCTCTGGAAGATCCACAGGGTTTACTCCTTCCTGGATTACATCATGGGCGGCTGCCAGATCCACTTCACGGTGAGTCGCTGCGCCCGGCCTCCTCGCTTGGCCCAGAGCAGGCCGAGGGTCTCCGGAGCCGGGCAGGGGCGCCCCTCAGTCTTTGGGCCTGGGGGCTGGTCTATCAGCTGCTCCGTTTGCCCTCGCTGGGTAGGCATGGGCAGGCTGCCTGGGCAAGGGGGAGGCTAAGCCTCGAGGGAGGGGCCGTCTTGGGCTTTGTTTTGGGCCGGCCCTCCAGGCGGGCTGGGCCCCCGCCAGCTCCTTGGCCACCTCAGCTTCTGGCCCTGGCGGTTGGAGCGCCCGGTTGGCAGCTCCGCACAGATTCCTCTCTTTCAAAACAAGAGGCGGGTGGCAGATTGCGTTTTGAAAGGGCATCTCCTTCCTGGAGTGAGTCAGTTCCAGACGATGGCAAGGAACAGATTGCTGGCTCCGGGCCCACTTTGCTCGCAAGGGCCTGCAACGGGCAGCATCCCAGGAACGAGAGCCCCTCACACGCCGGATGGGGGCAGGTGGGTGGGTGGGCGACGAGGGAGACGGCGTCCATTCCCACTTGGCTCTGAGCCCAGGGCCGAGGGGCAGAGAGGGGCTCTGCCGGATTCTTCCTGTTCTTGAGGTCAGTTTCTCTTCACTCCCCCAACCCAGTTTGGGCAGGAGTCGGTCCTGAGGACGTCCTCCTCTGCCTCCCCAGGGTGGCCCGGTCCTGTGCCCCCCATCTCTGACCCCGTGGCAAATGACGGGGAAGCCAGGGTCTGCCCCTCCTCCTTGGCGTAGCCCCAAAACTGGGGAGACCAACCTGCTGGCTGCCTGCCTCTGACCCCCCCCCGCCTCTGACCTTACCCCCAGGTAGCCATTGACTTCACAGCCTCCAACGGGGACCCCCGAAACAGCTGCTCCCTGCACTACATCAACCCTTACCAACCCAACGAATACCTGAAGGCCCTGGTGGCCGTGGGGGAGATTTGCCAAGACTACGACAGGTGACCCGGCCGGGGGGTGGGGGGGATCTCGGTGTTGACCAGCTTTGAGCCTCCCTCACCCTGGCGGGTTGGAGGTTCATCCCCACGGGAGAGAGCAGCCACTTTGGAGGCATCCCCCCCCCCCCGATAGGGTCTTGGGGAAAGCAAAGAGGGGGGTGGTTGGGGGAGGGGCTTTCTTTGCAGCCGAGTGACCCGTTTCTGCTTCTGCACAGTGACAAGAAATTCTCTGCCTTGGGCTTTGGAGCAAGGATCCCCCCCAACTATGAAGTAAGTCAAGGGACCTGCATGAAACAAGACCGGGGGGGGGTCAGCAGAGCAGAGGCCTCTGGTCCCCATTGGGGAGGGGCTTGGCCAATGTTCCTGTGGGAGGCTGGACCCCCAGCTGGGTGAGCCGCCATCGCATCATCGCCTCTTGCCCCAGCCCCGCCTTTTATGTGCCTTGGTAAGAACACCGGGGCCCTTGTGGCATCTGAGGGGCTGACGTGTTTCGGAGGTCTTGAAGGGTCAGCTGCCCAGCCGCCCAGCCTCAGGGCCCCACAAGTTTCTCTCTGCTGCCTTGCTGCCGTGAACTTGGCACTCGGCTGGCCAGCCTTTCTGGGTGCTGGTGTGCCCGCCAAGCAGCCGTGAAGCAGGGCAGATTGGCATCTGTGCCACCCCTGCATCCAGATCCAGCCTCCTGCCCTCCCCGAGGCCTCCCTCCACCTTCTCTTGCCACCTGGCTGAGTGGCAGGAGCCCGAGTGACAGCTCCGAGTCCTCCAGGATACACCAGAGCAGCTGCCACGGCTTCCATCCACCAAGCGATGCCAACAGGGCAGCCTCTGAAACCGGGGCTGGAGGGGGCTCCCCAATTCACCCCCCTCCCTCCCTCCTCAGGTCTCCCATGATTTTGCCATTAACTTCAGTGCCGAGGACGATGAGTGTGAAGGTGAGGATCCGGTCGGCTCCTGTTCCTGCTGCCTCCCTGGTTGTCCCTAAAAGGCGGCTGGGACCCGTTTCCCCCAGAAGGGCCCCAAGGAGAAGCGCTGGCAGAGGGGCCTCCACTCTCTGCCTGGGGGCTTCTCGGGAGGAGCAGGAAGGTTTTTCCTCTCTGCTCCTGGAAAGATGCCCCCCCCCGCCCCCCCCCCCCCCGTGCTGCACAGAGGATGCCGCTGAATCTGCCCCTCTCCTCGCCAGGCATCCAGGGGGTGGTGGAGTCGTATCAGAGTTGCTTGCCCAAGATCCAGCTCTACGGCCCAACCAACGTGGCTCCCATCATCACCAAAGTGGCCAAAGTGGCCGCAAATGAAGAAAAGACCCAGGAAGCTTCGGTGAGTGCGCGGGCACCAGGAGGAACAGCCTGGGTGACCGTTGGGGGTCGAGTCTCCTCCGGCTGGGTGCCCCCCCCCACATTGGCTGGAGTTGAAGCTCTGGCGCCAAACTTCCCACCAGCAAGCGGCCCCTCCGCTTGATTGAAAAGGGGAGCCCAGGGAGGCCGGGCTGCTGCGGTGGATTGGGCCCCTTGCCTATGGAAGCTTTGGACGGGCTGGGGGCCCCTTGGGGCTCTCGGAGGTCGCTTGCTTTCGTGCAGGTGTTTCATGACGCAAACTAACAGGTACCGTGACTGATGGGCCAGGAAACGCCTTCCCGGCGGCAGCTCAGCCAGGGCCCCTCGTTCCAGGCCTGAGCTACAGAGAGTCTCCTTCCTTGGTTTGAACACATTTCCTCCCCCCCCTCCCCTCCCCCCTCCGTTATTGACATGTGCCAAGTGGGCGAAGACCCCGGCACGGCTTCCCTCCTCCTGCTCTTGACAGCTCTTGGCACGCTCGCTAAGTGGCTGAAAGCTTGGCTGCCAGACTGACCAATTAATGGCGGCAACTGATGTGTCCGTCCGCACAGCCTGGGCCATGAGTGGGGGGGGAGGGGGGAGGCTGGGCTCCGGGCAGAGCAGAGCAGAAAGGCCGGGGAGCCCGAGGGGGCCGGGGGGGGGGGAAGCAGAAGGAGCACCCTGGAGGAAGGGAATCCGCTCCAGCCGCCTTGGACTCCTCCTCCGTTGGCATTTTGAATCGGGTCAGTCTGATTAAGGAAAGCAAAGGGAATTAAGAAACAAACAGAGAACTCATGAATTTACCCGATCAATGTGGTGGCCTTCAGTATGACGATTGGTTGTCAGAATTGCTTTCCCATGGAACCCCAGAACTGAGGCTTGGTTTTCTGGAGCACCTCCAGCCCCCCAAGCTCTGGAGTCTGGGCCCTGGGTCAGCGGTGGTCAGAAACCTCTTGGGCCTTTGCAAAGCCCCCGTGGAGGGCAGCGTAGCTCCAGAGTCAGCCCACCACCCTCTGCGGCTGGTGCCCACTGGGGCTGGGCCTCTGCTGCTCTCACGGGACTGTAGCACTTGACACATGCACAGGAGCCCTGCAGCTCTGGCCGGAGAAGGCCCAGAGAGAAAGGAGGAGAGAGAGGTGGGGGGATTTGTCCTTTGCCAAGAAGGAAGGAGGGAACCCCTTCCCCTCAATCTTTTGGAGGAGGAAGCTTTGGGGGAGGGGCACTGCCTGGTCTCTCCTCCTCAGTCCAGCTGGCCTCCCAAATTCCAGAGCTCACCAAAGGGGGAGAATTTGGGGGAGTTCGGTCTGCACCCCCGACC